CTCCTCCTCCTCCTCTTCCTCCTCCTCTTCTTCTTCTTCGTATCCAATGATTGCACTATATTTCTTGTATTACTTTGATGTCATGGACATTAATGTCCCTGTTTATTTAGTTTTTTGTTGAGGCTGAGTTCCATAGTTCCCGTGAGTCTGAGTCCCCTCTCACCTGGGGTCTGACTCCAGAGCCCTCCAGACCTTCTAATGCCATCTCTCAGGGTACAGACTGGGAGCTTGCAGTGTGCCAGGAGGACGGCAGGGGCCTGATTCCTACCACTGTGCAGAAGCCCACCTGTGTCTTCTCAGCTGCTCCTGCTTCTCTCCCCGTCACAGACTCAGCCACAAGCCACCTCCTTGAAGGTCTCCTGATCACTTGGGGACTGTTTTACAACTTCCCACTCCTGAACCTCCCTCACGTGGCATTTTTATTGTGTGTCTTTCTCTACGGAGTCTTATTCTGTCTTACTCTGCATAGTCTCCCTGGGGAGCAGGACAGAGTTGAGGTGCTCTTTTGTGAACAAGACACACCTGTGCATGACCTGTTTCCTGTGTCCCCGTGAGCTGCGGGTCAAGGGGATTGCTCCCTCATCTGAAGTACCTCACCATTGAGGCCTTGCTCTTCCCTCCCTTGCCTGTCACTCCTGTTCCAAATACCCCAAAGTTGTGGTTATGCCCCTAGAGTGACCTCAAGACCCCAGGAGACACAGGTGCCTGTTCTGGAAATCACCGTGAATGCAACGTCCACCCCAGACTAGCCCAGCACAGAGACTAGGAGCCATTTCTTCCCAGGATTCAGTGAGCCAACTCACTATGTCTCTGCTGTCACTGAAGACTCAATTGTTAAATGTGGCTTGGGGGGGCAGGGGGAATGTGGTTTTTGAGTAAGAAAAAATTTTAGAGTGTTGTCCTGTTCCTGCCTTTGTTAAACCCCCTGTGAAACACCCATGGAGTGCAGGGCCCATGTTTCAGGTGTATTTCATTTAAATACTGTTTGAAGGCTTAACTAACAGACAATTATAGTTACAACAGGACAGAAGTGGGGACCAGTAGGTCTGAGCGTGGACACCGTGAAGCCGTCTCTCTTTTTAGAGGATGACATGGCCATCTGGACTTGTACCACAGAGGAGACCAGGACCTCTTCCTGAAGCCCCCACCACCTCGGGTGCCCTCTGAGGAAGATGCACTTCAGCATCAGCCTCACCTGTACCCACAGCTGCCCTGGAAAGAGAGCTACAGAATAACAAACCGTTTCATGGATGGGGGGGGGGGGCTTGAGAGGATAGAAGGGGAAATAAAGGACCTAGTCTCTCCTCTCTGGTGTGCAGGTAGGGTGTGCTGTCCTGAGTAAGGGAGGGTACAGGCAAACAGACATCGACTGACTGGAATGAATAATGTTTAGTGATGAAATTTGCACAAGCAAACAGGAAGTCTTAGAAAAGGCAAGGACAGAGGAAATCCATAAAGCTAGATGGGGAAATAAGGAATAAGCAGCTAGAGTGTGATGTCAGTGAAACTAATAAGAAATCCAGAGAAGAGTGAAAGCTTTTCGGAGGAAGCATGCCCATTGCCTGATGGGAAACGGGGTGGCTGGCCGTGGCTTCTCTTGTGTGAGAAGGGACGCCTTCAAAAGACTCAGATGGGAAATTCAGCCAGCTTGAGGCCTCAGATATACTGTAAAAAAGCAGATTTGGGTAAACTGATTTACAGCCTATGCCTGGGGGCCAAATATTAAGAAAGGAAGGCCACAATATATTGCCAAGCCACATGAGAGATTGGAAAGCAAAGAACAGTGGAGAGAGTTGATTTATAAAAGTTGGTCAAGACAAGAACAGGCTCCCAAGGAGCAGGTCCCCATAGCGGGGTTCTTTGTCGCCATCAGTCACTAAACATCCATAGGGAATGGTGTGGCAATCAGATATTCTCATGGTGTGTGAGCAGAGGTCCAGAAACGACTGGCCAGTTGGCCCACTGCCATGGGGACTCAGCAGATGCCCCAAGCGTCCCGGGAGTCAGGTCGCAAACAGAATTTCATCTGTTTTGGCTTATTTATTCACTAAAAGCGGTCATCTCCGGGCGTTGGATGCATATAGAAATCCATACTTTCCTCCACCGATTATGTTCTTAAAGGATAAACGGATCCCAAATGTGCAATCCAGGCCTCCCCTGGGTATGTCACTGTTGCATGTGAATTATTTTGAGCTGAGGTCAATCAGGGCCCACTACAAGCTCATGAGAAACTTTTCCCACCTCTTTAGGACCTAAAGGAATAAAAATGGGGGAGATATTACCCAGAACTAGGGTTTTATCAGAAACAACCTTTCTGTGGGAGAACTCTAGCTATATGGTCAGAGAAACATCTAGCTACAGATCACCTGGACTCCATTGTCTGAGCCAGCCTCTCCCTGCCACACAACCCCTGCCCCACCAGACCCCAGACCCTGTTTGGCTCAGGATATACACCCTCATTTCGCTCCATAGGCCTTAGAATTCACACCTGTGTAGTTTCTTCATATGCATCTGAGTAAATTTGCTCTTTCTTCTGCTGACCTCTCTGACATTAATGTGGTTGCTTGGCCAGCCTGAGGAGAAACAGAAGGGCAAGGAGGAATTTTCTTTCCTCTCTGATAGTCAAAACTTAGGATTAAAGGTCAAGGAGAAGACCAGAAGAGAACTGAACAGAAACAAAATCTAACTTAGGGGAGAAAATGTAGGTTAAGTATAGAGGCTTCATTTTCATACTGTTAGCAAGTGTCCTCGTTTTAATGTTGTCACAGGTGTGTATCATGGTGGGGTGCATCTTTGAAGAGCATGAATGACCTTCTGTGGAGATGGAGGCAGGTGGGCTAGTTAATAAGCATGGAGGCAACTTTTAGCTTAGCTTTTGGTGGCACCAAGATTATATTTGAAAGATGAAAGGAGAACTCCGAGGGAACGTGGTCTTTGTCATTTTAGATGTAATAATCCACCGCGGTAATCATGGCCGACTGGCGTAACTAAAGTAACCCGGACACAGTGCAGTTCAAAAGAAGTAACTTTTATTCCCCAGTTGCTGGTTTCTTACTAACCTCTCCTTCTGAGTTTTAAATTTTCTGCTGGGGATCTGCTTGAGACACTCACAGAGATTAAATTAGGGGAAGAACCCTCCTTCTGATGAGTAAGTGAAAGAACTGAGTGAGCTGAGGACAGTGTTCTGTGGCTTTCTCTGCAGGGTAGTTGAGGGAAGGACTTCTCGGACCAAGGGGGATCCTTTTAGTTACTTGGGCAGAAGGCCAGAACCAGAGGAATTTCATCTGAACTCTGTGGTCAGGAGGGAACATTTTGGAAGACAGAGGATATTGGAAAGTTGAAAATGGCTAATAAAAAACAGAATAATGCACTGTAACACAAGCTAAACCATGATGAACATTTAATCTGAGGAGACGAGGAAGCCAGTTGGAGCTTGGATCTAATCTTTCTAAAATATGAAGATCACAGTAAAATGAGTCAGCCTTGTGCTTTTTACCTGTTACCTAATATAGGAGCAGGAGCATGATTACATCAAAAGAAGGTCTTTGTAGGATGTGCCACAGATGACTCCAAGATGCCACAGGCTGTCAAGAAGAAACCCAGCTCTCCTGGCTTAACACTAAGGTCACGGCCTCGCTGATATGTGTGCAAGGCCAGGATAAATCCTGCTGACTCATTGTTGAGGGAGTGACTAGGTTCAGTAAGAGGAACTTCCAAGCAGCTGTCATGCAGTTACCCCAACCCACACCCCAAGCTCAGGTCACTGCCACCCCTGCAGCACGCCTCCCTGTAGGGTTTTCAGCTCGCAGAAGCTGTCGGGGTCTTCTGTTACAAGGTGGCCAGGTTTGCCAGGTGTTTGGAATTGACAGATTAGCAACATTTGGAAAGTTCCTAGGAATGGATCACTTGTAGCTTTAGGGTTGGGTTATCCACCACCACCTGCTTGGATTTCCCCATCTTGGGACCAGAAAACTTTCCAACCGGCAAGAATGGGGAGCAAGAGAAACAATTTCCTCATCTTCCCAACTGTCTTGCAATGTCAGCTTTATCGAAGAATTGGATTTTCGAATAAAGCTGGATTTTTATTCTGGACTCTGTCCTAGGAAATTGATCTCTTTCTGTTGCTATCCTAGTTATAGGACAGCACTATAGCAGTAGATAGTGTCATTGGTTATAATAATGTACTTACGATAGATCACAAATAGACAAGTAAGTGATCTATCAGTATCATTTAATGAAACTGTATATTTATTATAAATTGTAATGCATCATCATGAATCATAAGGCAATTGGAAAGCTAGGGTCAGACTAGAATAGGGAAATCCTCTGAAGAATCAGGAAGTCTCCAGAGATGAGGGTAACAAATTCCAAGAGCACTAACCAAACACCCCCAGAGTAGGACATTTCCACACAGTTGCAGTAACAAAGTATTCTCAGATGGGGGCTGTGAAGCAAGAAAATTCTGAGCACCGTAGCAGGTTGAGCGAGACCACCGAGAGTTTACCAATCCCAAAGAGACCGGTGGGGTCTAGAATCA